AAAGGTCAGAGGTCAAAAATACATTTTTCTTGCTGTCAGTGACTGACTTTTGGAGGCAGGACAAGGGGGAAGTAAATCACATTTTAAAAGATTATTCTCAAACTGTAGCATATTACGGCCTTACGACATTGGCCTGCTGTAGCAGCAGCCCAGTATGGTCAACTTCAGCCTACATATATATATACAAAAGACGACCCAGCAAAAACTGATGCTGGCTACTCTGGACACTCAGAATGCAGGCCAAAGACTCTTCTACTTATTTCAAATGAGACAAAACTATTTTAGTTTGAAGATTCATTAAGCAATTTGGAAGCATGGTTAACTAAGCAAATCAGATAGGCACTCCATAAATCCACAGTACAATGAATGAAATGTTCATGTGTAGATGTGGTTTTCTATATGCTTTATTTTTTCAGTTTGTTTTTTAAAATGAGAATACAACATAGATCACTGCAAACCTTACACTCAGCTCTGCTGTCACTGTGGCCCTAAGAAATTTCCTATGGGACACATGAGCATTAGACTTAAGGGAGCTAAAGGGAGCGGAGGTAAACTGAGTGGCCTAAAGAATCTCTAAGTCATCTAATCTAACCGTGTGTGGCATGACCAGTCAGACTGGCAGAGGGGGCATCTGCACCACTGGAAAGTAAAACAAGCCCCTCAAGATGGCATTCCAATCTCATCGATTTCAGGGTCTGGCCTGCATATGGGCTGATTTTGCGAACTGTAAAACACACATTTTTCTACATTTTTACATGCCTAAAAGCACCCCCTGCCTGCTAGGGGGTAGTCTTGTCTCAGGTGTCATAGCTTGCACAGAGCATCAAAATTTGCAGAACTGATGTCAGCAGCTTGGAAAACTCCCAGGAACAGCAGGGGAGCGATCTTTTAAGGAATGCCATGTTGCCAGGGTTTTGATGGCACAGAATATGGCACTATGTGGAAAAACAAGGACATCAAGACCTGGAGTCTAAAAGTGATTCAAAGGAATGAAACCCAAGGCGAACAGACTTGAAAGATACTTTAACCCCAGGTTTCTCACTACTGGCACAGCAGACATTCAGCTAGGTTGATTCTCTTCTGTTGAGGGCAGGGGGTGACAAGGAGCCTGTCCTGTGAATTACTGGACACTTAACAGCATCTCAGGTGCCATCTACTAGATAAGACTTGACAAGTGTGATAGCCCAAAACATCCTAAACATTGTCAAATGTCCCCTGGAGACCAAAACATCCCCCGCTGAGAACCACTGCCATAACCAATTTATCTGCTTACCTTTTCATCTGTACAAATACAAAGGTGATGTTTTTAAATTTTTTAAATTAGTCTTAATGAGCTATGCCAATAAGAAACTCTGAGAGATAAGTCATTGGGTCCAAATTTGCCATTTTTTCTTAGTGCCACACCTTGAAATGGATGGCATTTTCCATTCAATGAGATTCAGTCCCCCACTATCCACTCCCCTTTGTTAGAATCCTCATCCTGATCTGGTACAGTGACTTCCCACTGCATACAGTCTTAGTGAATTCCAGTTCTTCCTGGTTAATGGTTCTCTGGTCTTCTTTTTAATGTTTTTGAGCTACCCAATAGGCTCCTAAAATTTCCTTGCTTCCTAAGTAGAAATAAGGTTCAATCTTTCAACCAAAGAAAACTCACTGAAACAAAGTCCTTTTTTAAGCCACCCCGATGGAAGATGTTTCAGAATATGTCTGTGCTGCAAAGTTTACTAGCCTGTTAAAATCTTTACTGCTTCTCTTCACTACTAAGAACCTGATAGAGAAGGGAAGCTGAGAAACAACAATCATGTTGCACAGGGCTGTTCTCTGACTGGAAAGCTATGGACAGCACCTTCTTCCCAACCTTGGTTGCACCCACTTGCCTAGAGTCATTACAAACTTGTTGACTGTTGACCCTCCTCAAGAAAGGAGGGGCACGGAGTCAGCCATACCTCCCAACCAACCAGTTGATCCTAGTTGTACAAGGGGGAGGAACTAACGGTACCTAAGCTGAGGAAGCCCATAGGGAGGCTCTCTCAAGATCCATGCCTGGATGGAGACTTTCCAGTGCGGCCTTTGGGGGGGTGGGGGCACCCGCACTCTTGTAAGTAAACCCTCACCAACTGCTCTGTAAGTAAGCCCAATAAACTCTCTGGTTTCCCAAACTGCAGTTTGGAGAAATCAGATCTCTGTTTGTCATAGGGACCAAGGGAGGAGGGGGCCGGACACTATTCACACCTCCCAGAAGAAATTTTAGCAACAAATGGGTAAAACTGTGATAAGCTGGGGGGATTCACTGCACTTGCCTCTGACTTTGAATAAGCTTCAAAAGTTACACAATGCAAAGGCTACATTTTTTTAGGAAAAATTTTTGAGCATTTTCACCACAAAGAAATGACTAATGCTTAAGACGACAAATGGATGCTTATCATGACTGAACATGACACGGTGCACATGTCTATGGAAACAGCATGTGGCTGTTAACATGTACAATGCTCTGCATCGCTTAAAAACTGGTGAATAAAGTTATAATAACTCTATGAAGAAAAATAACACAATGGAAATTAACTCCAAAGTCCTTTTCAAACAAGCTTCTTTAAAACTCACAAGTCTGTGTTCAGATCTTAAGTGTGAAGAACTGGTGGACAGTTACTTGAGGGAAAGATGAAACTAAGGCAGCAAAACATGAACAGGTGACATGAAGAATCATTTTGAAAACTGCTTACAAGTCTTTATTCAAATGTGCGCAATAGATACAACAACATCTTAATGCTCTGTCATTCCAAAACATTGCTTTAAAAAGACTGAACAGAGACTTTAAGTGCTTTTGAAAAAGTTTCTTCTCTGGTAGAGGGAGAAAAACTAGCTCTCCTATAACTCTCCTAGAAACTGTCACATAGAAGAACATATAATTTTTTGCCAAGATTTGACAGCTGGAAGTTGTCATGAAGAAAGCTTCAAACAAAACATTTTTTTAAAGAAAAAAATAATATAATGGCTATACCACCCTCTGCTCTCCTTAAAAGTGGGAGAAAATAAATTCTTTATCAATAGTCATGTGTCTGCAAGGCTGCCAACCCCATCCACATGAGATATGAAGGTGGCTCTCATTGGCACCTTTTATTCAGCTCGCCTGCCCTTTCCCTTTCATGGACCAGAGCAGAGCGCATGGGAGCTGAATAATGAAAGGAGTGCACACACACAACCAGAGCGAACAAAGCCTCTGCCATATGGAGACAAAGGAAGACAAAAAAAAAAATCCTACTGCAATTCAGTTAGCAAAGTAAACATGAATTTAACAACAGAAAACAAATTTATAAAAATATTTTAATTAATAAAATTTCCACATATCAGAAATGCTACCATAACATTTTGATCATCTTTACTTCTTAATGAAAGTGATACAAATATTTTAAATATTTTAAATGTTTAAATTTCACTCATTTCAACCTAACCCAATTAAGTAAGTATAAATTGGTTCATAAAAAACTGCTGAAATACACACAGGCCCTTTCAGCGGTAGTAATTATATCTCAATTTGGGGGGGGGGGGGCTTTTTTGAGACAGGGTCTCCCAGTAGCCCCAGCTGGCCTGAAACTCACTGTGCAGACCAGGCTGGCCTTGAACTCACAGAGCTCCACCTGCCTCTGCCTCCCCAGTGCTGGGATTAAAGGCGTGTGCCACCACGCCCAGTGATTTTTCAAACCATAAGCTTTATCTATTTCCTGAGAAAATGATGGACTTAACGTCCTCGACAACTCATATTCTGGTCCGAATGTTTTGTGCACATCGTGAGTTGGTTCAGCCATTTGTCAGGAACACGTTTCATCATCAAGAACATGTTTCAAATGCCTCATCTGGAGGATGAAGTATTTCAGGCCCAAGGAGGTTAAATTATATGCTGAAGTTCCTATGACCAATGAGACTACAACTCAATTCAAAGACTCCTTCCATTAGTGTTCTCAGTGAATTAATTACGCAGTCCAAAACAAAACAAATACAGTCAAAGCTTCTTCTCAGTTTAGGTATGTGCTTGGCACTCACAGAGGAAAGACACTCACATGACTACTCAATAACGTTCTATGCACATTTCAGAAACTGTACAGATTCTATCTGTACATTCACTTGATTTGATCTTAAATGTATTCTCATGTTTCAATTAAGTACACACTTTAGAGCTTTTAAAATAGTGCTTTTTCAATATGTGTGTATGTATGTATAAGGTGTGTGTACCTGTGTGTATGTGATCTGTGCTGTTTAGTATAATTTTTTTTTTCTCAGTCTATGGCTCTTCCAAATTATCTGAATCAGCATGTAAGCATCTCCATGACCGTCTAGTGTTCCACTGTATGCACTGTACAATGATGCATCCATCAAGTCCCCCAGGATGGCCATGGATTGCTTCCAGTTTTCTATTCTATGATGCCAATGAACATTCTTTTAGCTACTACTCCTTACAGTGTTAATAATGGCAATAATACAATGAAAGGACAGACATGTGAAAAAAAAAAGTTTTAAAATGTGAGAGTGGTTATAATCCAGGATTATAGAGGACGTTCATTTTCAGCTATGCAAATTTCTAAGACATTTCAATTTTTTCAAGTGAGGCTGCTACTAATTAGTGCTATTTGTCAATCCAAGTACTATGTGTGACATGATAGTCCATCCTTACCTATAATATGACCCACTTTAGTAATAGTAAAAGGCCATTCAATTTTCAATCTTAAACTTAAGTCTTTGAGAGATTTAGATACTCCTGGGGAACACTCAGAAACTATTTTTCATTATGTTGAAAAAACGAAGCCCTGTAACCATGTAAATAATAATTCTTAAGCAGTATGATCATTTAAGGCTCTAACAAGCACGGCACAAAAGTAAAAGTGACTAAGTTCATATGCTCAGCACATTTGAAGTTCAACCTTACAAAAACAAAGTGGTCCAGTAAAATCATCCTTCTGTAAAAGTAGCTGCTGCATGCTGTAAGCCCAGCAAATCTCTCAACTCACCGTCTCTGGCCTTCAGATTCCTTCTTGGCCTGCTCCAATGCCAGCTCCTCAGCTACTCTTCTCTTTAATTCTTCATCAGAAACTAGAATCAACAAAAGCACAAGGAGATGAAACAAAAGCAAGAAAATCAAGCAAAGAAGGCTGAAGTGGTCTGAAAGGCCAAGCTCTACCAGGTGCCCAGTGTCTCCTTGGAACTTCCTGAGCAACTCGGAAAAGCCCAATTACTGCACATCAGGAGTAATTTAATCAAGAGTGCCCTGGTGACCTAGAAAGTCCCACACCTGCCAAAATTTATAATAAACTCAAGGAGCTACTTACTGCCCAATCGGGACTGAGTCATTTAAGTACTAAAGTCTTTAGAGTGATGTCCTAATGTTAAAAGTCTGACAACTGCCTGTAAATGGAGGTCAGGCTATTAAGGACTTTAGGGAAGAAAATGATGCCAAAAGCCTCTTACCTCAATAATTAAATAATTAACACGATCACTTATTACATTCAAAGGAATATTTTTATTTATACTCATTTCACCATGATTTATGAAAAAAAGGTATTAGTGAATTATAAAATGTAGAGTACTTTCTGAAATATATGTCATTCAAATTTAAGTGCCAACACTTGGAGAGACACTGAACAGTGTGCTGAGAATATAGCTAGACAGAGCTTCCTAAATACCTGGAGACCTGACTGGCAACATCTTGCCTTTCCAATTAAAAGACTACATACACTGTTGCTTAAAAAGATTCTTAGAGCTGTAGTGGTAAATAATGGAAAACTTTTATATACTACTTTAAAGAGTTTTCATTAGAAACAAGAAAACCCACCTCCTCTTCATTAGAAAACTACTAACTAAATTATAACCAAAAAGCAGCAGAATCATTAGTAACATGCAGAACCTACATATTGCTTCAAATGGTTTGATCTTAGATGGACAACAAGACAGCACGTATTATCCTTGCTATCCAGTGACCCAGACATCAGATTGTACCTTGTCTCAGGGGATATACAAAACATCATTACAATATGGTACAAAAACCTGTTTTAAACAGTAAGATGACACTGAATAGCAAAGACTATATCAAAAAAGTTTTAAGGCTATTTTCCCTCAGTTACAGAGCATCAGAACGCAAAAACAATATCAAAAAACATCATCAAGAGGATTAAAAAAAAAAAAAAAACAACCACAGAATGGGAAAACATATTTGCTAATCAGAACTGACAAAAAGACTTGTGCCCAGAGAAAACAACATAAAAGAACTCAAAGCCAAACGATTTAAAAAAAAAAAAAAAGTAGCACAACTGAAAATCAACAAAGGGCAGAAACAGGCATTTCTCAAAAGAAGAGAAGCAAATGCTAATAAGTATACAAAAAGAAATGCTCAACAACACTGGTCACCAGGAAAATGCAAATCAAAACCAAAATGATACACCACTTCAAACTTTATGTGATCCAAGAGGCAAGGAGCAAAAAGTGTCAGTGATGACAGAAACTGGACCTTTCATGCATTACTGGCACAGCCAAAGCAAACAGGTTGGTGGTTCCACAAAATGCTAAATGCAGTCACTGTATGACCCAACAAGTCTACCATCAGGGAGTGTGTATGCACAAGAGAACTGAAAATATTATCTATAAAAAACTTGTTTATGAAAATGTATAACAATTGTTCATAATATCCCAAAGGTAGCGATGATCTAAATGCACATCAACTGATAAATAAGTAAACAACGTGACCTATTCATTCATGTAATAAAAACGAATGTAGTCCTGGTGCATGCTACAACGCAGGTGAACTTAAAGATCTTAGGCCATGTGAAAGAAGTTAAGACATGGGTACACTGTATGCTTCTACTCTTAAGGATGTCCAGAACAGGCAAAGCCACAGGCATAGAAAGCAGATTAGCAGCTGCCTGGATAGGAGAAAGAGGAAGATGAGAAAAGACAGCTAACAGGTACCAGTTATCTTTTGGTGTTCACGTGGTGGTGGTGGCGGTATGTGTACATGCACTTCTTGGTTTATCTTTTTCTATCGGGTTGGTCGGGTTGGTTGCTGTTTTGGTTTTTGAGGGGTGGGTATGTGTTTGGTTTGGTTCCTAGCTTTTTTAAAACAGATTGTTGCTATGTAAGCCAGGTTAGTCTCAAACATAGACTCCTGCTGCCTCAGCCTCCCAAGTACCAGTATGTGCCACTATGAAAAACTCAGTTACTTTTTAACAAGTTGAAAATGTTCTAAATTAGACGGTGGTTACACACAATTCTATAAATAAGATAAAAACAACTGAACTGTTTGCTTTAAATGATAAATCCACCAGGCATGGTGGCACACACCTTTAATCCCAACAGAGGCAGGCAGATCTCTGTGAGTTCAAGACTAGCCTGGTCTACATAGCAAGTACCAGGTCAGCCGGTGCTACAGGCAGACCCTGTCTCTAAAATACAAAAACAAAACAAAAACAAAAATAATGAATACATCTCCATAAAGGGGCAAACCTAAGACCACTGGATAGGTTATCAGGGAATAAAGCAGCAGCAGCAGCTACCCAATCCTTGCATGCCTGTCTACAGGGTAGGGGCTTAGAAAAGCTTCTAACCTCCCTGGGAGCAATTTCCTCACACAGTTGTTCTCTATGGTCTTTTCCAACTCTATGTTAAGTTTCTGTTTGTTCCTCCCTCACTTCATGGTGATAGCATGAAAAAAATACAGTCTCTACTTTGAAAAGGTCGCACACAATCTTTAAAAAAACTTGTTAAAACAGAATTCTGCTTGCATCCAGGTAAATCTTTAGGGTGGTGTCCCCCCCCCCCATTAAAGGTTTTAAAATAATAAAAATCACAGCAGAGAAATTGCAGACAGTAACAGTTCAATAAGGAGTCTAATTAGTCTGTTTTGATACTAGCTAGACTTTGGATAAGCAAACTGATCTCCCTGACTTTGGGTTTCCCATCCAAACACAGGTTACGTGGCTGCACCTGTCACCTGATGTTCCAAACTGCACTACACTTCACATTTCCAAACCATCTTACAAAGGAGCAAAACAACAGAACTGAAAATCCTCAAGGTGAATACAGCTCCACTAGAGCAAAAACTGAAACAGACACTGAACCTAATTAGTACCACCTGATCAAAATATATTCTGAAGCCTAACAGACCAGGAAGGGTCAACCCCACTGTCAGTCGTTATACATGCAAAATCACGATTCTCCTAGATCAGTTCAAATTACAGTAGTACACTTTTTCTCAGGTAAGATTTATTAAGATTCCTGATCAGCAGGGTGTGGTGGTACACCCCTTTAATCCTAGCACTTGGGAGGCAGAGGCAGGCGGATCTCTGTGAGTTCAAGGCCAGCCTGATCTACATAGTGAGTTCCAGGACAGCTGGGGCTACAGGGAGACCCTGTCTCAAAAAGACAAAAAAAAAAAAAAAAAAAAAAAAAAAAAAAAAAAATTCCTGATCAAAATTGATTTCAATTAATCGATTAAAATAAGGCATCTGGAAGAGCTCTGTCTACCAGGATCAAGGATTAATCATTGAGACCAGTTTTCCATGTGAGCTGATTAAACAGTTTCATTTCTCCTTTCTGTTTTTTTGGTCTTGGTTTTAGTGTTTGAGTGGGGGGAATTTTTCCAACTTTACTGGGATATAATTGGCCAAAAAGTATATATTCAACATGAGCATCTTATATTCATATAAACTCTTTAATGATTACCATAATCAAATCAACACATCATCCACCACACAGTTATCATCTGCATATGTGTGGAGTAAGGACACCTAAAGTCTAGTCCCATCAAATTTCAAGTTAAAAATTCCATATTGCAAAATAAAGTCTCTATACTCTACATTCTGTTTGCCCAGAGCTTCCTCATCCCAAACTGAGAAAGTCCCACATCTCCCTACTCCCAGCCCACAGAGCGACTGTTGGTTGCTTCTCCAAGTTCAACTTTTTTACATTCCACAGGCAGGGGAGAGCCTGCAGTATTTGTTTTTCTGCCATATCTCCATGGCTCATTTTATGTCTGTTACACAGGGGCTTCCTGACAGGAGAAAAACCAAAATGAGCAGTGATGTGATCGGTGAGTGAGGAGAGTGGTGAGGATGGCACTGCCAAATGGTGCTTCAGGAGCCCTGGGGCGGGGGGTGGGGGGGGTAGTTCCAGCTTGGAGGTCTGTGGTTTCTTTCCCTATACCCTCCCTGTCTTGGTCAGCCCTACTACCTGCTGTGAGATAGGAAGGAAGATAAAGACACAGCACTTAGGTAGGCCACAATGGGAAGGGGCAAAACAGGAACTGGAAAGCACCAGCAACAAAAAGGACAAGAAAGCTCTAGAAGACATGCCCAAGTGACAAGCTGGATGACATCACTTCTAGTCAGTAAAAGGACCAAAGCACAGCCCTAGCTATTTCCAAGAAAAGGGGACAGGGTGATGGAGAGATGGTGGGAAATGGACGGGGACAGGAATGGGGTGGGGGAAATCACAACTTCTGGTTTCAAGGTCACAATTGAAAAAGTAATTACCTAAACTGCCACCTGGATTTTAAAATGACAACAGATAACGCATGACCTGGCATAAAGTCTAAAATCTACAATAGCATATCAAAGCACAGGCAGAAAAACTGGTGTGGTAATGGCTCCTGAGCAAATCTAAGCTTCTTCATGTTATTTGTTTTTAAATCAATATAATACAGAAAGCAACAATGTACTTCTTCTGATAGGTCAGATTCAAAGTGCATAGAAGAAAAAGATACACCATTTGAAGACCACTATTTAAAATGGCCTTTCTGAAAACATCCTCCAGCTCTCCAGGTCTGAACATTTTCTCAAATAAAACTGTTATTAAACTAAAAGGTCAGTGTTTCAGGGTGGGCTACTTTAAGAGAAGCATAAGAAAGGCCAGCTTTGCCTATTAGCAAGGTGAGTTTCCAAGCACATCTTTAGAAACTGGGGAGGTTTGTGAAATGAGAAAGAGTAAAAGGAAGAAACACACCATCTAAAGCAGATTTGTCACAGAAATTTGCAAAAACGATTTCAATTCAGTAGGTAAGGCCAGTCCTATGGCTTTACATATATGCACTTTCCCTTTAAAAT